CTCCGGCTGAAGCCGCTGCTTTACGTGCATCGTTTAGGCAGGAGGTTGCTGTCTGGCAGAAACTTGACCATCCAAATGTGACAAAAGTAAAAACTCATAGTCTTCAATTTCATTTATTTAAATTAATTACTACTACTTGATGCTTAACAAAGTTAAAGAAAGAAGCCACATCTACTGATAGCACACACTGCTATATTCTGCATGCTTAGATTTCGGTATTTGTTACCTGTTTAAGAGGAGATATCAGATATGAACTAAATTCACAGTTCTGCAAAGCAATTTTGTTTTGATAAATAACTTTTCAGATTAGTAGTTGTTTTGTATTCATTATTGCAACAGTTTGTTGGAGCTTCAATGGGTACTTCAAATCTTAAGATTCCCTCTAAAAACCCTTCAAATCCGGCTGAAGAGTCCCTTCCTTCCAAGGCATGCTGTGTTATTGTGGAGTTTGTCTCTGGTGGGACACTAAAGCAATATTTGATTAAAAGTAGGAGGAGGAAACTTGCTTATAAGATTGTGATTCAGCTGGCTTTGGACCTTGCTAGGGGGTATGTCCCATTTTTATCATCTCTGCAATTACAAACTGCATATCTTTTACTAATGTAGATCATTTGTTTTCCCCAATATGCAGTCTTAGTTATCTACATTCGAAGAAGATCGTTCATCGTGATGTTAAAACAGAGAATATGTTACTAGATAATAGTCGGAATCTAAAAATAGCTGATTTTGGAGTTGCTCGGGTTGAGGCTATGAATCCAAGTGACATGACAGGTGAAACTGGAACCCTTGGATATATGGCCCCAGAGGTAGGTGTTTCCATGGGATTGCCTCCCTATCGTATTTGTCTTTTTTATGTTTTCAAATACAACTTGCAACTTACAAGTTACTTGCATGACACTGTTCCTTTTCTTTTAGAGTAAATTACACCGACATCTTTTAAGGTTTTGTGGAAAATGCGCATAGCACCCCCTTTACCGGAGGACACATAGTGTAATGTTTTTCAAACAATTAAAAGAGATTTGTTTAATGTCTATGCTTGTGTAGTATTTTTTCAAACAATTAAGAGAGTCAATATAAGAATAGAAAAAGCATGGAATCTACGTGCAATTTCATGAAAACTTATAGGATGTGAGTGTAATTTATTCTTTCTATTATAGTATGTACAATGGGAATAAAAATGTTTGAACGTATGACCTTTTACAAATTATGTAAACCCCTCAATTCTTGTGGCTCATCATTTCTATTACTATTTGTATGCATATATTCAGGGTTATTTGCTAAACATTTTCACTTCCAGTTATTAGCTTTAATCTTGGGATTACACTATATGTAGGTTCTGGATGGTAAGCCTTACAACAGGAGATGTGATGTCTATAGCTTTGGCATTTGCTTGTGGGAAATTTACTGCTGTGATATGCCTTATCCAGATCTAAGCTTTGCTGATGTGTCATCTGCGGTTGTTCGCCAGGTGGGTTCAACACTTTTTCATAGCAATGTTTGCCTAATTTACTGTTGTTGGCCATGATAGATGCATGGATCTCACACTGCTTGTGTTGTTGCACAGAATTTACGACCAGACATTCCTCGGTGTTGTCCAAGCGCCTTAGCGAACATCATGAGGAAATGCTGGGACGCGAATCCAAACAAGCGTCCAGAAATGGAAGATGTGGTGAGAATGCTGGAAGCACTTGATACAAGCAAAGGTGGTGGAATGATACCTGAAGATCAGAACTCAGGTTGCTTTTGTTTTGCTCCAACCCGTGGTCCTTGATTCTTGAACGCAACATGCATCATTATTATTTATGTAATGTGCTCAAGAGATGAGGTGAAGCACTCTGCAACTGGCAATTGGTGTTTTATTGTTTTGCCAGTTCACAGCTCAAACATCCTTTCCTGATGGCCAGAATGACTGACAAGAAAGGAAGGGAATTGTATTTTATTTCTTAAATTTTGGCTAAAGGAGCGACTTCATTGCTTCTTACATATTTGTATCTAGTACTCAAAACTGGTTTCTTTTGAGCATGGAATGGGTTATAATCTTTAATCAAACTTTCCCCTACTATTACTATTAATTACTATTACTTGTTCCTGGCTACCTAGAGTAATGTTATTCTGTTTTGGCGTGAAATTTTATCTGTTTTTTGTGGGGACCAAGTGAATTCTCGTTGGAAAAGTCTCGAGATTTGGTGAATTCTAGCCAAAAAGACGCGGTACATGTTTAAGTCATTCAAATATATAGATTTGGTGAAAAAGACGATGAGATTTTACAAATTTAGAACCAAAATTGATTATGTGAAATTATTACTCTCATTCTTATATATAAAGTAAAAATAACATGATTTAGAGTTTCAATGATGCTAAAAGTAATCTTGAAAAATGATACAAATTATTAATGAATTTAACACTAACTTTTTAAATCTTTGTCAATTATTTAAAATGTATGACATTTAGAGGCAAAAGTAGTAGTTGCATATTTTATGAGTAGTAATTTTTAAGTATTTTATGTAAAATACTTCATCAACACTTCTCATTTTTATTTATTTTACTGTTCTTATTAGTTATAACATCATATTACTTATTATACCTATATTTTCTTCATTTTTTTTCTCTCATGCTAAATAGGATTCGGCATGCCTAAATATTAATTTTGTTTTTATATGTGCCATATATTGCATACATCATGTAAGTATTATTAACATATACTTCATAAGCAACATTTCACTTTGATTTATTTTAAGGGTTAATATTCTGCATCTAAATACAAAAATATGAGTAAACATATAGTCAGATTAGGTTATCCCTCCCAATATTGATTAATGTTATTTATATTTAAAATTTGTCTAAACTAATTTTTTATATAATCTTCAATTTATAGAGAAGAAAACTCATTACTGACTAAACATATTATATGACATTTACTTAACTTACAGGACACTTAATTTTATTTATGACTAATAAAGTCTTATTGTAAACGTAATTATAAATTCTTGATAATGACATTCTCCTAACTTTATTTATGACATCTTATCTATTTAATTTTATCTGTAATACTGTATGGTGATATCTCAAACATATTAAAAGAAATCAAAATCTCATTCTTAATATTCTCTTGAGGCTCCGAAGAATGATTCAATTAATTATTATTACTCATAGTCATAGTTTTTCTTTAATATTCATGATAAAGCTTTGTCAAGCAAAGTTAAAATAACTAAAAAAAATTGATTTCACATACTAATATTTATAATATTTTAAATCTCATTATTATTACTTCATATATAAAATTATAAAATACAACCATATTTCAGTCATTGATTCTAAAAATTCATTTCATAGAAATTTTTGAGTTATCTTATAAATTAGGATAAAATTGTGAAGTCATACTCTCACTTATTTAGTATAACATTGTTTAATATTGTATCATGATTGATATAATGACCAAAACATATAAACATGTTAGATTCTCACATCTTACAAATAGGATTATTTCTTTTGAACTGTATACAATACGAAAAGTAAATAAAAAATTATAAAAATTACTAAACCAATAATACTCTCGCTGTATGTAGGGTAAATCCGGTAATGCGAAAATATAGCACTGTTAATGATGTGTATACATGAAAGACAAATCCAGGAGACATGACATATTAAAAGGTTGAAACAGATAGATTATGGTCGTGTAGTTTGTGCTGCAACTCACACCAATTACGGATACGCCATGGCCACCACCCTTCTTCCTAGTTCTGTTCTTCTAGTTCCCAAAACCGTGAAGGAACCTAAACCTATAACCACAAACTCATCCCCTAAGTTACTTGTAAACTGCAAAACCCTTAAGGAGTTGAAGCAGTTACACTGTGACATGATGAAGAAAGGGTTGTGTCACAAGGCCCTCAACAAGCTTATTGCTGCTTGTGTTCAGATAGGTACCCATGAGAGCTTGGACTATGCTCGAAATACTTTTGAGGATGATGATGGAAACATGGCCTCTTTGTTCATGTATAACTGTCTCATTAGAGGTTATGCTTCAGCAGGGTTAGGTGATCAAGCAATCTTGCTCTACGTTAAGATGGTGGTGATGGGTATTGTGCCTGATAAGTACACTTTCCCATTTTTGCTGAGTGCATGCTCTAAGATTATGGCGCTTTCTGAGGGTATGCAGGTTCATGGGGCTGTTGTCAAGATGGGTTTGGAGGGAGATATCTTTGTTAGTAACTCTTTGATACATTTTTATGCGGAGTGTGCGAAGGTTGACTTGGGACGAAAGGTGTTTGACAGAATGCTTGAGAGAAATGTTGTGTCTTGGACTAGTTTGATCAATGGGTATGCTGGGAGGGACTTGGCAAAGGAGGCTGTTTCTCTCTTCTTTCAGATGGTTGAGGATGGTGTGGAGCCCAATCCGGTCACCATGGTCTGCGTTATATCTGCTTGTGCCAAGTTGAAGGATCTTGAATTGGGTAAGAAAGTATGCACTTATATCAGAGAGTTGGGTGTGGAGCTTAATACACTCATGGTGAATGCACTGGTTGATATGTACATGAAATGTGGGGATATATGTGCTGCAAGGCGGATTTTTGATGAATGTGCTGATAAGAATTTGGTTATGTTCAATACTATCATGTCAAATTACGTGCACCATGGGTGGCCCAGCGATGTGCTAGTAATTTTGAACGAAATGCTGCGAAAAGGACCACGGCCGGATAAGGTAACCATGTTATCTACGATTGCAGCCTGTGCACAGTTAGGTGATCTTTCTGTTGGGGAGTCATCCCATGGTTATGTCTTACGGAATGGACTTGAAGGTTGGGATAATATTTCCAATGCCATCATTGACATGTACATGAAATGTGGCAAAAGAGAAGCAGCTTGCAAAGTTTTTGAGCTTATGTCAAACAAGACGGTGGTGACTTGGAATTCGTTAATTGCAGGTTTGGTTAGAGACGGTGACGTGGAATTAGCTTGGAGAATCTTTGATGAGATGCTGGAAAGGGATCTTGTATCTTGGAACACTATGATCGGGACATTGGTTCAAGCGAGCATGTTTGAGGAAGCAATTGAGCTATTCAGAGATATGCAAAACCAGGGGATTGAAGGAGATAGAGTGACAATGGTGGGTATTGCTTCTGCCTGTGGATACTTAGGAGCTCTTGATCTTGCCAAGTGGGTATATACTTACATTGAGAAAAATCATGTTCACATAGACTTGCAGCTTGGCACTGCTTTAGTTGACATGTTTTCAAGGTGTGGTGATCCTCCGAGTGCTATGCATGTTTTCAGAAGAATGGAAAAACGGGATGTATCTGCCTGGACTGCTGCCATCGGAGTTATGGCTATGGAGGGAAATACAAAAGGGGCTATTGAGCTTTTCAACGAGATGCTCAAGCAAAAGGTGAAACCAGATGATGTTGTTTTTGTGGCACTATTGACAGCTTGTAGCCATGGTGGCTCTGTGGACGAAGGGAGGAAACTTTTTGGGTCAATGGAAAAGGCACACGGAATAAGTCCTCAGATTGTCCACTATGGATGTATGGTTGATTTGCTTGGTCGAGCTGGGCTGTTGAAAGAAGCTCTCAATCTCATACAGGGTATGCCAATGCAACCGAATGATGTTGTGTGGGGATCCCTGCTAGCAGCTTGTCGGAAACACAAAAATGTTGAATTGGCACATTATGCAGCTGAAAAGCTAACACAATTGGCCCCTGAAAGAGTTGGGATTCATGTGCTATTATCCAACATATATGCATCAGCTGGAAAATGGAATGATGTAGCAAGAGTGAGGTTGCAAATGAAGGAGAAGGGGGTTCAGAAAGTGCCTGGATCAAGCTTAATAGAGGTTCACGGATTGATTCATGAATTCATCTCTGGTGATGAATCACACGCAGAGAACACACAGATTGGATTAATGCTACAGGAAATAAACTGCAGGCTAAACGAGGCAGGGTATATTCCTGATACAACCAATGTCTTACTTGATGTTGATGAGCAGGAGAAAGAGCATTTGCTCAGCAGACATAGTGAGAAACTAGCCATGGCTTATGGACTAATCACTACTGGTCAAGGCATGCCCATTCGGGTAGTAAAAAATCTTCGAATGTGTTCTGATTGTCATTCATTTGCAAAATTAGTGTCGAAACTATACAATAGGGAAATTACAGTTAGAGACAATAACAGGTATCATTTTTTCAATGAAGGATTCTGTTCTTGTAAAGATTATTGGTAATAAATTTACTAAAAGGAATCTTCTTACCTATGGTTTACAAATCAACTTTACTCTTTTAGCGATTTAAGCCAAACATTTATCAATTGGGCTTGTGGGACTTAACAGAAGGGGAAAACACCGAACAATACATGAATCACACGTGAAATAGATATTCCAAAAGCATGGGCAGAAATCAAAGGACTTAATTTTTGTTTTAAATTATGGATCTGTTCAACTCTATTGATGAAAAAAATGTGTCAAAATAAGAAAATTATGTTATTAAATAAGAAAACTATCTTCTTTAAAATAACTACACATCTACAACAAATTGATGGACACTTTTTGAAAAACACTATCATTTAGTCTTTTTAAAAATTGATTTTAACCTATGCATGAGTTAATTTTAATTTGTGAGATAAACTTATTTCATTTTTCTTTCTAATTTATGGAAGAAAAAAAAATTATCCAAACAAAATTATAATATCTTTCTATTTTAAATTCGGCATGCAAGGAGGGAAGTATATGGGTTTCTTTTGTTCAACGCTATTAAAAATGTGTAAACAGGGGCTTGCAGTGATCCTGTGACGAAAATTCAAAACAAAAAAGTGGGATGGATCATGTAATCTTCAGGCCAGGATTTTTTACTAGGAATGGAATATCCTGTGTCCTGGCCTCCTGGGACACATACTGAGATGCAGCCATGTATAAAACGGAAAACAGTCAAAAAGTCAAAACCAAAAAAGGGTAACAAGAAAAGTATCAAAAAAGTTGTTCAATTTTGCTTTACCCAAAGGAAAACATAGCTGAAACTATTTGCAGATGCAGGATACAGTACAAAGCCTCTAAACTAACTAACTTCATGATGTGTGTACTAATGTTGGGAAAATGGAATCAATAAAACCATTGTACATTGGATCCACCTGCCACAGACTAGCAATATGAAAAGGCGATGACGTTTGGCGATGGATTTCTTCAACGAGCCAGATGGTGGCTTCAGCTTTGCATGGATGAATCATGTTGTCCAAGGGCTTATATTCATCCTCACTGCCAATTCTCAACTGGTCCCACTGCTTGAGGAGAATATTTGTGAGGTAATGAAGAGGCTGTCCGTATAACTGCTTAATGGATCTGCCCAATCCCATCCATGAGGTAAATGGGATCACAGAGCCTCGATGACTTGGGATTGGAATCTGCTTCATGTAATCCTGATACATTTCTGCCCGTTTGATGAATGCATCTGCATACAAGAAGCAAGTGTATGCATCAGAAATCAGAATGGCAAAAAGCCTAAGATTAAGTAAAAGGATATCTAGAAACCAAAATACCAAGAAGTTCAGGGTGAAAACAATAAGCTTTTAAAATGTTACAAAGGTCTTCCATTTTATCTGTGACTAGAAATGAAATTTCTTTCTATCTGTATTCTCTTAGATGATATGCTTGAAAGCAACTGGCAACATAAGTATTTTGAACAAAGAAACAAAATACAACAAAAAGAAAAAGGATCTCACTAATAATTTACATCGAATAAGAAAGCAATAACATGCTTTAAAACAGAACAATAAATCACATATATGGTTCAAAATTCTGACCATTTACCCTTTAACATCAGTTAGAACATAGCAGGTTAGATGCCTATAATTTTCAATAAATCACCACTCACGCCTCTGACTATAATTTGTTTTTCTTATCGGTAGAAAATATTGCAACAATGACAATGAGGATGAAACCTAAATCTGCATGCATCTATCCGAAACTCTCATTACAAATCCGACCCTGATGATTTGCCTTTGCCACAGACTACATATATGCATAAAAGCAACATCTTGGAATAAAACAGAAATCTGTACTAAAACAAGTAGGTATTATGAATTCCTGTGGAGGCAATGCATAAGATTTCCAAGTAATTAATTAAAGTGAAATTGAAATTGAAATGTATGAATTGCCTTGGGAAGTGATATGTATGGGGGCCTTAGGGATAGTTGGAGGATTAGGACGAAAAGTGTTACTGGAATTTGAGGAAGAAGAGACATCAATTTGATTATCCCATGAAAATGGCCTCTTCATCGCTGTTCCTGCTCAAGTCAACTAATTGAAATTGAAGTGTGAGTGAAAGAAAAACCCTAGAATTGAAACACAAGTGTACCCAAATGGAATCGAAATGATTACTGATGGAGGTTGGTTCCAACCAAACCCTCACGCACCGCACTTCACTACTCTTTTCACTTTCACCGCATAGTACAAAGCTACTTCTAACACTTTTTTTTTAATATATTTTTAAAAAATTATTCAAAAATATAAAAAGTCACTTAACTTCACCCTTTATTTAATAACTTTTCTTGATTTTATGATTAAATAGCTCATTTCTTAAATAATAATATATCATCTAACTTATTTAAAATCTAACATGATTTATTTAATAAAAAAAATTTAATTTAGACTTTTTACTATATGATTAATAACAAAAAAGATAAAAATAATTTAAAGATTATTTAATAAAAAAAAAATATTTATGTCATTGGTTGACTTTTAAGAAAAAATAAATAATGTAGAAAGTTAAGAAAATTATTCTCCCTATAAATGTTGTATCTAAAAAAAATAAATAAAAATTAATCATATTCTTATTAGATCATATTATTTTTATAAAGATCACAATCATATGATTCTGGTTGATACACGTTGGCCTCCATTAATTTAAAATAATATACATATAACGTTATAAAAACATATATCATCGATGTCAATTTTATTAATTGATTGAAACCAAGCTTTTTAGTTTAATAACACAACACAAGAGTTTAATCACATAACAAGTCAATTATTTTAATCAATTTAATCATTAATAATATTAAATCATAAATGTAAAGATACTTATAATCTTTTTAGGAAATCATATAGACAATTAGACAAAATTATTTCGCTCTCAATGTTACTCTATTCATATTGATTGATCAAACATAATGTAATATACTTCTATCGTATTTGTTACTTAATCTATCATTTTTCATTTTTAGGATAATTTTATTCTCACTTGTGGTGAATTATTTTTTTTTTGTATTATTTTCTCACTTCCAATATTAAAAATTATTCTCTCATTTTCATCTTGCACCATTTTCTCACTTTTAGTAAAGAAAAATATTCTTAAAATTTATTTATTTAACGGTGTCTTTTAGATCTTTATAAAAATATTATTATAATTTATTTTCTAAATTGTCTCCAAGATCAACTATATTTAAATAAAATTTACAATCACATCAATAATAAATATTCTATCTAATATATATTATAAAGAATATAATTAAGAATAAAATATGATTCAAAATAAAATAATTAACCTCAAAATATGAATTTTAAAAAAATGACTTTAAGAGGTTACAACATCAATAGAGAAAATATTATCATAATAATAACATATTATAAAAATTACTTTAAATATTTATAACACTTAATATTTATTTAATAATTAAAAATAAAATAATACTAATAAGATGAAATATAAATCTTATTAAATATTCACAACACTTAATATTTCTTTACATAAAAATGACTTAATCATAAAAAGAAAAGATAAAAAAAAAAATAATTTATACATGTTATAAAAGAAATATCTGAAATAAATAATTACTTTTAATCTTTATTTTTTATTAAAATATTATATTCTTTAGATATAATTTTTTTATTATATTTTTTTAAAAATAATTATACACACTATTTTCATCCTGTTATTATATAAATAGAAGTGATGATGAGTCTTAACTTAAGCAACCTTGGCCTCACTTCCTGAAAAAAAAAATGCTCTCAAAGTTCCGAATCCTTAACCTCTTCCCTCACTCAAGAATCGCCGCCGTCAATGCCTCCCTTTACGGAAACCCTCTCTGCACCATGGCGGAGTCGCCGGAGCTTCCGCCGTGGCTGAAGTTCTCCGACACCCCCATCTCTCCAGACGCGGACTCCGACGACAACTTCGTTATCCCTTCCGTCGCTCATTGGGTGGACACCCACATCCTCACCACCAAGCCCAAATTCCCCAACCAAAAAAACCTCGACCCCATCGAACCAATAACCAAACTTCTCAAGAAACGCCACTCTTCTCCCGAGTCAGTTGCTGCAGCACTCCATGGACTCGCTTTTCAGCCATCAACCACTTTGGTGTCTCAGGTTCTCAAGAGATTCACCAACGATTGGGTCTCAGCTTTGGGTTTTTTCACTTGGGCAAAATCACAAACAGGTTATCGGCATTCTCCCCAAGAGTACAATTTAATGGTTGACATCTTGGGAAAGTGCAGAATCTTTGATACTATGTGGGACTTGGTGGAGGAAATGTCAAAACTTGAAGGGTATGTCACATTTGATACGATGGCTAAGGTAATTAGGAGGTTTGCCAAGGCTCGCAAGCATAAAGATGCTATACACGCATTTCGAAGAATGGAGGAGTTTGGCGTCAAGAAGGACACCGCGGCGTTGAACATGCTCATGGATGCGTTGGTGAAAGGAGACAGTGTTGAAGATGCCGACAGTGTTTTTTTGGAGTTCAAGAGTTGGATTCCTTTGAGCTCTCATTCCTTCAATGTTTTGATGCATGGGTGGTGCAAAGCTAGGCACTTTACAATTGCAAGGGAAGTGATGAAGGATATGAAGGAACATGGGTTTGAGCCTGATGTATTCTCTTACACCAATTTCATCGAAGCATATTGCCGCGAGAAGGATTTCCGCAAGGTGGATGAAGTTTTGGAGGAGATGAGGGGAAATGGGTGCACCCCTAATGCTGTGAGTTACACCATTGTGATGCTGGCTATGGGGAAGGCGGGGCAACTGAGTGAGGCTTTGGAGGTTTATGAGAAAATGAAGAGTGATGGGTGTGTGGCTGACGCAGCGTTTTACAGCGGATTGATAGTGATTCTTGGCAGAGCTGGGAGGTTAAAGGATGCATGCGATGTGTTTGAGGATATGCCTAAGCAAGGGGTTGGGAGAGATGTGTTGACCTACAACAGTATGATTTCCGTTGCTTGTGCACACTCGCTGGAAGAGACTGCTCTCAGGTTGCTTAAGGAAATGGAAGAGGGGTCGTGCAGGCCGAATGTGGAGACTTATCATCCATTACTCAAGATGTGCTGCAAGAAGAAGAGAATGAAGGTGCTCAAGTTTTTGTTGGATCACATGTTCAAAAACGATGTTGGCCCTGATCTGGCGACTTACACGCTCTTGGTAAATGGTTTGTGTAGCAGCGGGAAACTAGAGGATGCTTTGGAGTTCGTCGAGGAAATGGTCTTGCAGGGATTGATTCCCAAGGACACCACGCTCAAGCGATTGGTTGGAGAGCTTGAGTCCAAGAGCATGTTAGAAGAGAAGAAACGTGCTGAGAAACTCATGGAACGCTTCTCACAGAGACAAAATATTAGTGATTTTGACGTAGGATGTACTACTTCAGTTTAGTGTGTTTAGGCTTTACAAAATTGGTTTTTGAATGGAATTTATTTTGTAATTTTTTTTTATTAAAGTTGATTTTGAAGCGAAGTAATTTATGTTTGAATATTTTTATTTTAAAAGTAAATTAGTAATGATGCCTGGTATATATATATTTTTTTTTATATTTAACGAGTGAATTACTTTAACTTAAAAGTCAATTTTGAATTTAGAATTATTTCAACGTGAACATTTAATTAAAACTATGTTAGGAAATCGACATGATTTTAACTTATTTAAGATGTGTATTTAGAAACTTGTTTAATTTACGCTATATGAAGTTTTACACTTTTTAATATAAAAATATAAAAGAAGGATGAAGATTATATTAACGCAGAATGTCGTTGATATTAAAACATACTATATAAATTCGCACAAGCTTTAAGTTAATAAAATGTTGGTGATTGATCTCTCATTTCATCCCATGCCATGAAACCCAAGTCTTTCTGTCTCACTTTGTTACTGTCTAACCTTATGTAGTAACCCTGTGTTTTGATTGTGCGTTGAGAACCTTGACGTGCATGGATGCATTGGTTCAGTCCGATACCTTGACAAAACTTGCATGCAAACGTGGATCTTGGATATTAAACCAAACACATTAAGGCTGTGGCTGAGTTTGGAAAACCGGAGGTTTTTTTTTTTTGATACACCAAATTGAGAAATAACTTTTTTCTTTTTCATTAAATGTGAATTTGTAACTCTTTTCTAGACGTGGATATGCTTGAATTACTTGTGTCATTTTCGTAATTTCCAACAAATCCAAATACACTATAGGCATGTTTGCATCATCGTTGAAATTCATTGAACGTAAAAGTTTTGTTAAATATTTTTTACATTCAACAGAACATTAAAATTCAAAATTTGGCTAAAAACAGACACACACTATATCATACATAAAATTGTGAACATCACAAATGTTAACATATACTATCAAATATATTCATTACTATTGATTAAAATTTATAAAAATTATGAAATGATCAAAACTCACTATTTAATAAGTATCAGTCATGATTTCATCATTTCCATCAATAAAAGTAATGTATTGAAAATTATATTAGAGAAATTATTGTTAACAGTCTCTTCGTAAACCCTCCTAGTAGGATTGTCCAAAATAATCTTAAACCTGATGACTATAACGCACAAGTTTACACTTGATTTGGGATGTAATAATCGTTGCTTTAAAAATTGAACCAGACTAGTTCATTATCATTTTTTTTCACCATTTAGATGAAGAATTATATAATGTTTACAAACATGTCCTGATAAAAATAAATAAATAAATAAAAAACAAGAGGTATAAAAAGGTAGGAAATAACCTAGAAATGTACAACATATTCGATCTTGTTAGTGAACCTTGTAAAATGCTCAACGGGATTGTAGCACTGGCACGGGAGTGGACTTGCAGTGTTTATGAACTCACATTCTTTGTTATTTTCACATCAAATTCAAAAAAGACGAAGAAGCAACTGAGAGTCCTTCAGGCCAGATGCAGATCGGTTGTTTGAAATGCATATCCAACCATGCGCTCAGAGGTGTTGTCTTATGTGTTGGGATAATAGAGAACTTGAAATTTTATGCGCAGGCAACCTTCTAGCCATTGGCTTCTGCCACCCGAGTCTTTCTAGGAATTCCTCAATCAACCTATAGTTTCAAATTCATAAATATACAGAAAATAAAGGGATAAAAGCAGTAAACCACATAAAAACCAACACGCACATGCTGCAAATAGTCTTTTGGGATGAAGCCAGCACACGGTCTGGGAAAGAGTCTGC